TTGTAGGACCATGACATCTAAGAACGGGAGTTGACCCTCTATTTCTTTTTCCATGGTGAATTGTATATTTGGGTGGAGGCTGTTGAGATGGTTGAGAAATTCTTCCAATTTTTCTTCACCGTGACTCCAAATTGCAAAGGTGTCATCCTTTGCAAAAAATATTTATTTATTTATTCATTCATTCATTCATTTATTCATTTATTTATTTATACTCTGCCTTTCTCCGTCAGTAGGACCCAGGCAGCTTACATCATTCAAAGACAATATCTAAAGCTAAAAACAATAAGGAAGAAAAAAAGTGTGTCCTGATTATCTTAACATCCAAGCAGGCTCATAATTGGGGACATAGTCCTTGAGATAGCTTGGACCCAAGTCATTTGTTAGGGGGACAGGATGAAACTTTATTTTAACAGGAGATATTATGTTTAATTATGTGTAGTTATTGTTTAAGGATATTAGATTTCTCTGTAAAAGGTTTTAAGCATTGCATAGACTCTGTAATATGTAACCAAAATACCCTGTAACCCTTGTATCTCAATCAGTATAATCAATCATATCATTTATAAGGGCATTATTTCTTTAACAAGGTCTTTAGCTAGCTCCTGTACCTTTCCTATTGTGCTCTTGTAGTCTTAGAACATCTTCCTGCACTCCTGCATATCACAATTACAATCCTTGATCCTTGCCAGACCAGCAATAAGAGAAATCAACACCCCAATCAACATCCCAGTGAGATACACTTGTAATAATAATAGAGGTTCTACCCTTCATGAGATGGGCAATTCTGGAGACAAATATTATAGCCCTCTCTACATCTCCTTTGGCCTTTGCTATGCATAGGGAGGAAGACTGCTATAGATATTTTGACACCACTGAAGGCCACATATTGGGCCCAAGAAAAGAGTAACATCAACATCTTAATAAGATAAGAGAAATAGAGAAAATATATCTTCAGACAGTCAGGCAACATCTTTGCACAACCTGGCTACATTCTGACCTTAGGTCAAGGGAACATGGGGGCACAACGGATATTCACGTATAACCAATGTTTGGAGTTAATTGGCATTTTTGGCTCAATTAGAAACAGGATCCAAACTTGGGGTTCAGGGAACCAATAAGGAATATGCTGCTTTATGGCTCTTTGTGTAGAAATATTATAAAATATCTATTCTCCTGATATTCGAGTCCAGTCCTCTGCTTTTAAGAGGAAGGGTCCAGCTGTACTTTTCAATAAAGATTGGCTTTGTACTAGCTGTTGATGCGTCATAGCCTGCCTGTCTTCGCCGGAGATTCCGAACTTTAATTTCAGAGGTAACACATTTAGGGCCTTATAAGTTATGAAAAGTAATTTAAATTGTGCCTTGAAACAGATCGGCAGCCAAGTGGAGCTGCTGGAACAAGTGGGTTATGTGAGTCCTATGACCAGTCTCAGTCAGTAATCTGACTGCAATGTTTTGGACCCACTGAAGTTTCTGAATGCATTCCAGAGACAGCCTCACATAAACACATCACAATAATCCAGAATTTAGTGGAAGTTCTTCATATCCCTTATTCCACTACTGGTGTTTAGACCTGAAAGCCACACATTGAGGTGATTATTTGTTTTTGTTCAGCACAAAGGAGTGGGACTAAGGAAGAGTGGGGCTGTGAGTAGAGATTTGAATCAGAAAAAGTGGGAGACCTAAAGAGTTTGAAGCTGCTGTTGCCACTTAGACTGCTAAGGCCCTTGCCAACTTGGTTTAGGGTTTGGGAGACTCTGCAGATGGAGCTAGTTCTTCTATGTTATGGATACCCAATCCAGTTGAGGAAAATATATTGGTTTTTTGTTTGAATTTGAATTCAAAGGATACTTGATCTTTCCAATTTTATAAGCAACTTCTGTATTGCTTGTAGAATGATTGTTGCTGAGGGCTTGGATGCACAAATTGTAGCATTTTGTTGTTATAACTGCCCATGTTATCTGTTATATAACTGTGGATAAGAAGATATTTATTTTATGACTTTGTGTTTGCAAGGTTCATCCATAGATATTTCAGTAAACAGCCCCATAGAACTCTGAAGTGTTACATTTAGAGTTTTGTGTTCAATGATGTTCAGAAAAACACGTACATCTGGCCTTCAGAAAATGTGACATTCCATGGGAAGATTTCTTCCATGAGAGTGCAGGAATTTTGTAACAGGAAGTAGCCTCGATCCGTCCATCCATCCATCCATCCATCCATCCATCCATCCATCCATCCATCCATCCATCTTACATTTCTTTTTTTTTGAGAATTAAAAAACTAGTCTATAGTATACTAGTATCATTACAATCATTCCTTAAACCTGTTCATACAAACACATAGATACACACACATTCAGAATACACACACACATTCTGAATACACAAACATTCATAAGCTTCATAATTTTTTACACCACCTCATGATCAATGTTATACATTCCATTTTTCTTATTAAAGACCATTTGAGAATTAAAAAGATGAAAATCACAGACTACATTAGCTGTCTGGGCATTAAAATTCATTCAAGACTCTTACTTAACTAAATTATGTGCTTGTAATGTTACCGACATTGGTCTTTCATTGTGTTTGGTATTTTCTACAACTAGTGCAGAGGTCAAACTTTCAAGGACAAAGATATAATCAGGTCAGCCTTCAAACTGCTATAATTTTTCTGATGCATGAAGAGAGGAAATAGATATGGGTGGGCACTATATCTCCTGAAATGGTCTTTCTTCCTGTTTAACAATAAATATTCTAGTGAAAGGGAGCTCATATATTACTCTACATATGAATTCTCTTTTTATTAATCACACAGGTGTTAGCGGTGGCAGAAAAGGGATTAGTGTTTGAATTATCATGGTGGCTTTATTCCCTCTTAAAGGTTTATATGCTGCTTTGGGAGTAGGAGGACTGAGCAAGAGAGCATCAAATTTATAATTGGATTTACTTGGGTGTTAATTACTCTAAAACACAGAATGTGTATTCCCAAATTCTGTCATAAATGTTATTATGAGGTGGACTATGTTCCTGTAGTGTTTCTTCTTCAGTCATGGCAGTTGGATCAGATTGTTATCTGATGTACAGCAATAAGATATTTTGCCCTTCCCAGTATTTCATTCTTGACCTCATTTCAAGAATACAAGGTAGATTGTCATCCGTGATTTAAAGAGAAGTAAAACTATTCAAAATTCAGGAAGACAGCAGCTGAATATAGGGCCCAATACAGAGGAACATCCCCTTCGTTGACTGGAATTTTATTTGGGACCAGCAACAGCAGGTGATAAGAACAGGGAGACGGGTGTCCCACTCTAGAATTTTGGAGTGAGGTGCCACTCCCTCCCTGGACAACAAGCCACCTGCATTAGCCCCACTATTATTAAATTGAACAGGTTATGATCACATGGAATTGTGACCACAACTGCCTGTTTATTATCTAATTCTATCAAAGTTTTGATAGAAAATAATTACAAGAATTTATACATTCTGTGTTTCTAATCTATTTTAGCTAGAGAGCCCATTTTGCCCAACTCTTCTTAACATGATATTGCCTCATCTGATTTGCATAAATACATGCGGTGACCAGAACTACAAAATTAGAGACATAACTCCTCTGAACGGTGATATAGAAGCTTCAAGCTCCTGTTTCTCTAGAATATTTATTGTTAACTCCCAAAAGATAGAGGCCATTTCAAATGATACAGTAGTTGCCCTTTATTTCTCATTCATTCATTACTGATGGGAGACAAGCCAAAATATTATAAGTAAGGGTACAAGATTATCCTTGCAGTTGTTGGTATGTGGTAGAGTAGACGTGGTCTAGAGGGGCGGGGTATAGATTTAATAAATAAATAAATAAATAAATAAATAGAATAGAATAGAATAGAATGATACTATCCTGTTGCTTAGCATAATGTGTAGCACTAAAGTAGACCAATGGAACTAATCAAACTTATGGTGGAGTTGAATCACCAAATCAATGGGTCTGCTCTAGAACAACTTACTATAGTAAGCAACAGGATTTCAGCCTGTGTTTTCTAGGTTTGTTTAGCACACTCTTCTTTTGGAAGCGGCGCTCCGCAAAGGTGTGGAGCTGCCTGGGCGGGGACTCTTTGCCCTCCCACTTGGAGAGTGACAGGCAGAGGTCTTGCGAAAGGATGGGCAGGCCTGGCTCAGTGCGAGTTTTGAAAACAGGCCTTGTAGCCTGTGCTGACAAATGACCCACCCTCCTACACAGGATAAGAATGAGAATAGCTGGTCGCTTTGAGGCTGAATGGGAATTTTTTTAAGTGTACCAAAAAACCCACAACAACCACAGGATGCATCAGCTTTCAGATTTCTCAATTAAGTGCTAGGAGTCTGTCTGAGCTAAAGTGGTTCATTTACACTTTTGTACCAAGTCAGAATCTCAACCAAATTTGGTGACACCCATTTCCCATTTCACACCTCTCCAAAAATTATATACATATAACATTTTCAGAAACCTAAATAGAGAAAATGTATGTTAAATTATAATTGAAAAGTATTTCTGAAGGTAGAAACTTTTGGAGAATCCTTTCTTCCCTTGGAGAAACTCAGTGAAATTATCCTCATCTCTGCCTCCATTTTTCTTCACACAAGTAATAATGAGAATTTCAAGAAGCAATTTGCACACAATTATAATTGGAAGAACAGGATAGATACATCTCCTAGTGGAGTTGGAAGGAGAATAATTAGATAGATGCTATAGAAAAAGCAGGATAGAGATGAAATCAATGATTCTGCTATTTACAATGAAATAAAGAATTATAAAGCTGCATAATAGATTGCAAGGGTTTGGAGATTTGCTGACCCATCATTCTTCCATACAAGCCAGGCTTCATGGGCACAGTGCACCCAACCCTGCTTCTGTGGAAGCTTCTAAAATGAAGAAGCTGAAGGAGCAGTGCCCAAGGCCTCTCTGTTTTAATTTCCCCAGTCTCTTTTCTTCTTCTCTTTTTGTCTTCCTTCCTCTGTCTTGAATATTTCAATGAGATCTAGCAGAGACAGGAGTGAAGTCACATCCTCAGCAGAATAAGGAAGTTTTATTTGAGGCGACTTCTGTGTATCTCTACTCTTGCATGCTGGCTGAGAAAAAAGAATTACAAGCAATTCTGTCTTGTAAGGATATTTTAAATAAATTTCATTTGTAAGATGTTGAAGAGAAAACCCTCCAATGCTTCAGAGAAGGAGAAATCTCAGAAACCAAAGGTAAGAGCAGTTAGTCCTTTTTTAAAATTGACTTCAGCTTTAAAAAGCATTACTGTTCCTTCATGTTTCAACTTGGCTAGTTTGTGTAACAACAAAATTATAGGCTTGACATTCTCAGCCCATTCACCTCAGTTCACTGGGACAGAGGGCAGCTTGACATGTTAATTACTGAGTTGTTCTGTGGCACCCTTTTTGCATAAAAAGCTTTTCACATAGGAATTGGATGGCAAAGATATCGGGTCAATGTTACTTCCCCCAAATACACATCTCAGCTCCGAATGTTCAGCAACTACGGGTAGCCTTGAAATTGTTTTCTATATACTATCCTAAGTGAAGCCCAAATTTAGTTTAAGCCTACTCTGGTTGCAGCTAAAGTAATATATTCAAGCCTTAATTCAGCGACTATACACGGGCCTACCTACCAATCAGATAGGCACTGCTAGGCTAAATCAAACATTCATCTTATCCAGAGTAGACAGACTGGAATCAGTGGGGCTTGAGTTCATTGTGGTGGGTCCTGTTCAACTGAGTCTACTCTAGGTAGGACTAGAAATGGATTTAGCTTAATGCCTTGGGTGCCAACCGTGGCAGCACCATGTCTCTGATTAGAAATGCATGTATGGTTTCTAGTCCAGTTTTTGTAAACTGAAGCTTGTTTCCAAGTGCTTCTCTTTCTAGCTGGATCAAATATTTCTAGGTTAAAGAGAAAAGAAAAGTGGTTCTTTCAGAACTGTCTTATTAGTATGTATAAAACTCCAACCAAATGAAGATCAATTAAAAATAATGTATCCAATAATGACAGAACATATAATTTCTTTTCTTGTCTACTTGTGTATTCAGGTGCATGGCTTTGTTAGGAAACTTAGTAAACTATCAGATTAGAGAAATACACTGTGAATTAGCCATGAGTTATACATGAATGCTACATTGTGCCCTGCTTCTTATATAAAGCAGTAAGTTTGTGTTTCAGTGTATTTGAAAATAAATGATCAATTTGAGAGGAACGTTTATTTGAGAAAGATGCTGTAAGCTGCACTGTATTAGAAATCCTTTTGTCTGAAGTGTTGAATGTGTAGTCTGTGAAGATTTTTAGCTTGAAGAATTTACAATTTGAAGTTGTGGGTGGTTTATGTAGTGTAATAATGTTTTGATCATAGTGTCTGATTTTTAACATGGTGCCACTGCCCTTTTGTTTTTTTAAAAAAGTTTCCTCTCTGAGCAGTATTACTTACTGCATAGACAATATATAGGAATTACTGATAAACCATTGGCACAATTTCCATGAAAATTCTAAATCCATTTACTGGTAGAGTTTAATTAAGCCACTCCTCCATTTGAAGAGCTGTCCTCCTTTTTGGTGATCCACATTTTGGTGCATTGTAGCTGGCCACCCTAACCCTCGCCCTGAGTTTTCCTAGCCAAACAGGGAAAGTAAAGTTGATTGGTGAATATATCTGAAAAGCTTTCTCTCACTTTTTAAGTTAAGCAGTTTTGAGCGGGAGTCATTTTATAAGAAAAGATGCAAACCACTAACAGAAAGGATATGGCATGGTGTGTCAATTTTGTATGGACTTCTTATGTTAGGTCACTACCAGTAGTGTACATTGTGAAAGAACTACTTAGAACATTTCTCTGAAAAAAATTGACATTTGGCTACCTAGATATTTCAACAAATCTATAGTGACTTCTCTTTGTTTTCTTTGTATGTACAACGTATAGTGTAGTTCCACTTCAATTGTAGTAAATAATGTCTAAATAGGATGATAGCTGCATATCACCAGAGTAATAATTGCATGTTAGCATGTAGAAATTTAATGCAAAAATGTTCTCCTTTCTTGCGAGGAATGTTCTTTTTGGTGTGCCTTGCCCTCCATGTCCTCCTTTATGGTGATGGAACACTGGCCACCTACATAAGAGTGATTTGCTGTTTGTGGCTCAGGTTAGCTAGCAATGAAGAAAACTCAAAGGTAGATACTAGAGATGGGCACAACTCCCTTTGTGCTGCCTCATTGCAAGTCATCAGCATAGCACCAACAACATGCAATGATGCAGAATGAAGTGAGTGCTTCCCACCTTTACTGGATACATATCAAAATCACTATTATTACTACTTTTTTCCATTACAAACTACCCCCGCACCTCAATCGAAGCCTGGCCAGTGTTTCTTCTTTCTTTCCAGAAAAATTACTTTTTATGCTAGCTTTTTAAAAGGATCGTTATTTGGGGGAGGGGATACTTTTTTAGGTTCCAGAAGGAACATCTAAAACTTGATCTACTTTTTCTCCATTTTGTCTGTTTTCTTTCATTTATGGCAATTATTTCTACTGTTGAAGTATCAGTGAACAATATATTTGGTAATGGGGCTGAATAACGTAAACATCTTTTTAAAAGAGGTTGCTCATGTAACCATCTTTTCTACAGATAGAGTCATTTCCCATATACTCTGATATTTTCACTGTATTGCTATAAACTGGTTTGAATAGTTTCATGCCACATTCACAGAGCTGTACACACTTGGAAATATTAGCACATTAATAGGATTAAGCTTCTTAATAATGATTTCTGATGCAAAAAGATGCAGCTAGATTTACTGATACCTACTCACATAAAAGGGGTGATGGAAAAAACAGGTAAATCAATTCCATTGATAGAATTTTTGAATTGTGAGACAGAGGGGTAAATAAATCATTTCTCTTTTCATTGACTTAAAATTGGTAGAGATGGGGATAAAATAGATGGATTATTTATAGATACTAATATTGATACAGACTGAGCTTCCATTTCTGAGTGCGTCTTGTATCTTAATTCTCACGTCACAAAGGCTGATATGATATGCAGTAGAAAGTCAATTACAATACTGTAGTTGGAATCAATGGAAATTAAAGAGGAGTTGACACACCAAACCAGAAGGCAGGTTTTCAGCTTTTGCTGTTTTTCCGACTCAGCTGGGTAGATAACTCAGTGGTTTAGCTGTCTGGCTATGGAACCAGAGGTTTGGGAGTTTAATTCTGTATTGTGCCTCCTGCAAGTAGAACCAGCTTGTGTGGCTGCAATCCCTGGATGCCCCAGAAGAAGGGAATTGGTTTACCATTTCTGAGTGCTCTCTACCTAAAAAACATTTAAAAGGGTAACTATCAACGTTCCCTCTAATTTTCAGCCATGCTGACAATCCCCGGATGCCCCCAGAAGAAGGGAATTGTAAACCATTTCTGAGTGCTCTCTACCTAGAAAACATTTAAAAGGGTAACCATCAACATTCCCTGTAATTTTCAGCCATGGTGGTTGGGGCTCCATCTCTCGTGCAACTCCACCCCCCATGTGTGGAGTTCTGTTGCAACCAGAACCAACCATCTCTTGTGCGACTCCACCCCCCATGTGTGGGGTTCTGTTTCAACCGGAACCAAAAGGGCTGAAAATGATGGTTGTGTGGAGGAGGAGGAAAGCTGCGTGGAAGGAAGTGGAATTGTGCTTGCTTGCCATAAGTCAAAAGTGACTTGATGGCATACTACTATTACTACCGTTACTACTACAACTCTTTAGCCAAAGAAGAAAATTCCCCTCTCTACATGAGGGGAAATACTGGGATTTTAATTTTATATTTCTACATTAAGTTGGCCCAAGCCTGTTTTAACTTTGAGCAGAAGGATCTAAGTTGACTTAGGTAAACACACTTTCACACACATGATCAAATTTAGTTGAAATACAACAGTCCTCAAAACTTTCAACAGGCATATTTTGTTCTTCAACAGTTCTCACTGTGTGCATGGCATCAAATAGTGATCCATCGTCTTGGGGAAAACCTCAGGCTTCTACAAAACAGACTTTTCCATCCCTGAGTTAATATGCTATTTGTAGGTCCAGATCTGGGCGGTAAATCCAGAAGTATCTGGTTCCTAAATGCATCTGTAGTCAATAAAACAGACTTTTCCATCCCTGAGTTAATATGCTATTTGTAGGTCCAGATCTGAGCGGTAAATCCAGAAGTGTCATCTGGTTCCTAAATGCATCTGTAGTCAATAGGAAAGGTAGGCTTTCTCAAGAATGAATGGTTCCTGAGCACTTCCTCAGTATGGAAACCGATGATCATATTATGGCCTCTGTATGGTGGCAGATACGCTCTATTCTCCCTCCAATGGCGGAGCTCGAATGGACTCAGCAAATGTCGTTTTCAGGGAATGACCAGCATGACTCCTAAATATCTATTATTTCTAAGATTTTTCTCTGATCAAATTTATAGATCTCTCCTTATTTATGCCTAAGCAGTATCAGTTGATGAGGTTAAACCTATTTTGCCTATAAGTGGTTTATTTTTTTAAAATTGCATTTTGAAGGGTTTTAATGCCAAGTCATCCTGGTGCTATGCAAGCAAGCTGTTCCTTTTAATTTCAGAATATTTTACACTGATTATAAATATCAGAAAGTAGGGAACAATAAGATACGAAAGGCCTTTGACAGGAGCAGTGAGGGGAAAAATTAAAACCAATCCTACGTTTGTCATGTCCAATTTTGCAACTGGCTTCCTCTAAGCAAACTGTTAGCAAACTTGCCATATGCTTGGGAAATATTTAAAACACATGTCTGTGCTTACTAAGATACCGGCGGAATTTCACAACTGACTTCCTTGTCAGCCAGGCTTTCATGAAATACAGCTTGAGTTCTTAAATGCCATCAATAGGCATGCTTAAGCATGTAAAACAGCTATTTACTTTTCTTTGCATTTTGGTGTGGATAGGCTTTAGTTGTATGCACTTTAATTTCATTGGGTCTTCCCCTCTCCCCCCACTTTTTATTACATGATGTGGTTTTTAAGGGTAGTTCTTTGTTTTCTGGCCCTTCTACATTGTTACAGCACAATGCTGGGCACATTTACTCAGAAATAAGTCCCACTGTATTCATAGGACACTTAACCCCAGGTATATGTTCATAGGATTGCCACTTAAGTACCTGTTCCTTTTTTTGTTACACAGATTTTGTTGGGAGGGGAGACAATGCATGACTAC